ATATATATGTATATAGTATTAGTGCTAAATTAGCAGCAACACAATTTCACAGGCGTAACTAAGATAATTGTGTAGCAGTTTGGGTGTTAGTGGAGCTAATTTTTTTGGTTAGCTGTGCCCACCACTGCAGTTTGATGTATGATAAAAAATAAATATTTATAGATACAGCAGCAAGGAAAGAACTACATGAATCAACACGAATCAACATCTGAACCAAATGATCCAAAGTGCATTATTATATTATTATTACATTGTGGTTGTTGGAGCTTGTTTACACGTAAGGTGCTGTACTTCCTGCTTGTTCTCAAACTAACCTACAGGAAATGTTGGCCCTGTTCTGGCTTTGACATCATCAAAAGTCTGTCAGTGTAAAGTCTTTGGTCCAGACCCAAATAAACCTAATCTGTCTGTTCACAGTGACCAGAGATTAGTTGTTCTAAATTACAGAAAGTGAAACACAAAAACGCTGTCAGTGATTCATTTAACAAACTACAGATTGATAACTTAACAACTCTGGGTTAAAAAAAACACATTTTATCTGTTTCACTGGTGTTAAAGGACATAATCTACCTGGTTTAAGTAGGCAATTTTTAATCTGACAAAGCTGGCTGCATGTGTTCTTTAGTCTCTATAGGACATTTCACACAGTACAGACTGTACCCACAAAGTGGGTACAGTCTGTACTGTGTGAAACCTCCAGAAAATGAAGATGGATGCTACCACAATCACATGGATTATTGACCATCTGACAGGGCAGACCACAAATTGAAGAATTATGTGTCTCAGAGTACAGAAAAACTCTGAAATSTGAAAGGTGGGAAGTGGCTGAGAAGAGCTGGTGAACAACTTTGTTGTATAKTGTGGAAAAATCATCTCATCTGAAACAGTGAACAAGGTGAGGATGAAAATAAGATTAAGAAAATCAAAAATAAGCTACCTTATGAAAACAAAGACTGCAAACACCTGAGTGTTCATCTGAACAGCAGACTGAACTGAGCATAACAGACAAAACGTCATTCTTTACTACATAATGACTAAACAAAGAAGWGCTGCTTCCTCAGCTCAGCTGCACAGAAGGTCATTCCTGCCCTCATGGGCCGTATGTAGTGGATATTTTTGTTCCTAATACACATTTTACTATTTTATTTCTCTTGGTTAGTAAATACAATGATTGTTTTATCTTTGGGAAAAACAATTAGATTACTAATTTTCCATACTCATCTGAGGAGAAGCCTTTCTGTCACCTGGCAGCAGGTGGGGTCTAATGGCTCTGAAAGGGTCCTGGTTCATCACGCAGAGACAACACAAAAACTCAATCACCATCAAATATCAACACAAGTTCTTTGGACCATGGGAAGAGATATGAGTTCCCACTAAAACCCCAATCAGAACATACACATTTTACATGGAAAACCAGCACAACTGGGATTTAAGAAGGCGTGCAGTCCTTCTCGATGTTAGATGACACTGATAACCTCCACACCACTGTGCATCCCCAATTCAATTTTATACAAAACAGATTAATACAACCAGAAAYATTTAATGGTTTCCAGAAACAGTTCTGTAATCAGTCAGTAATAGTTTAGCACCTGTCGCATCCCTCATCTGGTTCAGTTTAACATCATGTCAATAACTATATTAAAGTGTATTCTATAAGTGTGTAAGAAATCAACCCATTCTCACTCCCGAGTCRTCACATATTGACGCTTTTCCAAAGTTCCCTTTGCGTCCAATTTTGACGCATCAGGTACCCCCCTTGCGTCATTATTTGACGGGATGGGGCGGAATCTGTTGTCATAATTTCTGAAAGTGTAGAAAATGCACAAAAACTACCGTCCCAAAGCGTAAAATTACCTTTATTCACTTTAGACATCCTGTCCCAGACCCTAGTACCTAAAATTAACCATTTATCCTGATCCCTCATGTTAACCTCAGAGCCCCGACCGAAAGACCCC